CGAACCCATTGTTGGTTCAGTTAATTTGATATTTTTCCTTCGCACCAAACTACGCAAGGCGGTATCAATGTTGATGTGATTTGCGTTATCGCGTAACTGGGGCTATGTTCTGAAATTCGCTCGTCACGACGAAGGCCCGGGTTCGATTCCCCACATGGGTACAATGTGTGAAGCCCATTTTTGGTGTCCCGCGCCGTGATGTAGCTGGAATATTTATAAAAGCGGCGTAAAACCATACTCACTCACTATGTTCTGAAATGTTATTTTGTTTCGAGATATTGTTTGTACAAATGCCGAAGATAGGTTTTATAGCGTTAGCCGGAGGGCGTGGCTTACAGTACTTTTCATTCACGTTCTTTTCGGTACTTTATTGCCTTGTATGACCAGTTTCAGGGAAACTCGTCACTGGTTAGTATTTGGCCTTTCATATTTACATTATACCGTTATTAAGAAGTCTGCGTGCCTATGCCAAGGGAGTATTTGTTAAAATATTTACTTCACGGTGTGGGTTTTGATAAGCAAATTTAATATACTACCCACTAAAAGTTTAGACTCACTTAAAGCATTCACTATATGTTATGTATATATATGTGGTTCCATCGAAGATGAATTTCTCCCGTAACTTGGGGAACTAACTGCAAACCTTATGCAGATGAATTGCATGAGGATATTGCATCAAATTGCTGAAAAGCATGTGCAAATATCGTGCATGTGAACAGCTGCGTTTTGGTATAAATGTTTGTTAAGAATTCGCCAATTTTCACTGAGTTTCATCATTTATTGAACTCATGACAATAATCTATTCAGCATTACGAATTTGTTTTACAACACATCAGTTCAAGTGTAAACAGTACCTTAATATTTTGCAAAATCTAGTTTAGAACAGTTGCATGAAGTAAGTGGCTACATTTACACTAGTAAGTCTAAACATGTGATGGGTAGTATATTTTGCGTTGCTGTTTGTTGTATAACGATGCCGCTAAGGCCTGGACATATTGAAGGTACATAATCGAGTCTGGTAGACAATCTAGTGATTGACATTGTGAGGAGTGATTAGCGTATATACCTGCATGCTTTGAATACCAGTGATCAACAACATGAGAATCGATCGACGCAATTGAGCACGATGACGTGTCAACAAAGTCAGCGAGCCTGGCTACCAAATCTCGTTAGACGCCTCTAACGACAAGACCAATTCTATCCCGGATCTTCAAGGGGTATAAGATTAAATGTATTAAAGTTCGTTGTGACTATATGCCGATACAAACAGACCGGTGAGAACAAAGAACCCTTAACAGTGATCGATCAGTTAGTGATTATTTTTCTCAAGCCGTGATACTTCTGAAAAACTGTTTATAGACACGTAAACACCAGCTGACAAGAAGATCTTGGCCCTTATTCTCGAAACGTTCGTTGCCCTAGGAATTTTTAATTTGATTGTAGCCAATGTGTTAAAAATGGGCTTTAGAAGTTCGCAGGGCTACGAACGTTTCGAGAATAGCTAGCCTGGGTAAGATTTGGTCTTCATCAATGAATACATGTTTCCTTAAGCGATTAACGGGATAAGGTAATGTTAAAAGGAGGGGATCGAAAGGATGTCTCTTGCGTGACAACCGACCGCACTAACCGCTGTGCCATCCGAATGAGTATGTATTGTTTATCACCAATATTTTTATACAACTGTGATATCTGTGTCTCATAGGCCATACGGCCGGATGCTGTTTTTAAATCCTGGTAATAATATAATGTCTTTTTTAATGAATTGCAGCATGTGACACGTTAATAAACTATATTTCTTCTTCTTCTTCTTCTTCTTCTTCTTCTTCTTCTTCTTCTTCTTCTCTGTATTGATGTGTAACTATCGACAAAATGGGTTAGTTGTTTGAGCAAACTGCACTGAACAAAATAGTAAAGACGAGGAAAAGATACACTGATCGTTTAAACAATGGGAAAGGTTACATTAGGACTGGTGTCGTGAACACGTTAATGAGAGTGTAAAATATTTTCTATCCACATTTTGTAATAAACTAGAAATGCGCTAACATTGAATCAACTAGACTACGTTTTCCATCAGTGAAATATTTGCCTGATACGGAGGTTGTTTTGTAAAGGTGACGAATTGAGATATCACCTTTGTTCCATTATTTTTGACCGCCAGTATACACTCTGTCAAAAGTACACAAACAATGTAAGGAAAACGTCCGAGTTAGTTTGCTTCATCTTAGAACACAGGACGTGTGATGATCCGGGTTAGATTTGGTCTTAGCAACCCATACGTGTCGTAAGAGGCGACTAATTAATGTTAAGGCTCCCTGACGTGGTTGACACATGTCATTGATCGATGCTCATGCTGTTGATCACTGGATTGTCTAGTCCAGACTCGATTATTTACAGACCGGCCCCATACAGCTGGACTTTGGCTGAGTGCGGCGTTTAACAAAAAAACAACCCAAAACAAACAACATGAGGAAACGTGTAGTTATTCCATGTTTCGAGCTATCGTTTTGTATATGTGTTACATTACCATAAACCGGTTGGTTGTTGACAACGTATCGCTGTTATTCTGAGTTTCTCGGATAACAAACATCATTGCATGTTTGTTTACATCATTGCATGTTTTCTTTATTTTCCAGTCACGTTTGTGCAAAATGCTTATATTTTCTTAAAAATTCACCACAAGTATGTGAATTGTTTAATAGCAACCTGACGCTTGTGAATTAGAACACATACTGTTTCCAGTCAACTGAAAACATACATGTATTGCCACCATATACACATGCTCTAGCAACGGTTGGCATTTTCCACCCATATCTGTACATATTTCATATTTTTTAAGACAAAATAATTCTTTGGAAAGAAATATGTATAAATATCAGCTTATGCATTGATGCTGCTCTCGAACCATCTCTCTCACAGATGTTCTGAACTCTCCGCTGCAATCAATGAATAATGGGTTTGGTTCCAATGAAAAGATATATTCAACTTTTCCAAAAAGATTCCACTGTAGAAATATGTTATTTTCTACTTGTTGTACTAGTTATTTGTCTACTACTAATTGGTTAATCGATATTGATATCATCCTAAGTTCTCAGCGAATTTATTCACATTTATTTGTCTGAATATAATAAGCTGGTAATTTATTTCCGATAAGAATAACGCCATGGCACGGTATTTTGGAATTAGTTGAATATACGAAACAACATTATACACACACTTAAATGGATGGGAAATCGGTATGCATGCTGATTTTAAGAATAGGAATCTGTGCACTTAATTAATGTAATCAATATTCGCTGCATCAACCCCAATTCAAAATTATTGTAGAAAGGGAATTTAATATACTAGTAGTTTGTATGACATGAAAACATGTTCCGGACACATTAGATGATACGTCACAATAATACCACCAGAAAACCCACACGAAATATGTATTTTGACAAATAATATTACGACAATAATCTAAATCTGAAAGATGCTAATTTTACATTTATTTATTAAATGTTATTAAAAAGCCAGTATCTGTGTTATATATAATAGAACATATTAAACATACAAAATAACACACACACGTGTATGTGGAATTTTTCTCATGTAATGTGTGTGTGTAATCGTGTGTGTGTGTGTGTGTGTGTGTGTGTGAGAGAGAGAGAGAGAGAGAGAGAGAGAGAGAGAGAGAGAGAGAGAGAGAGAGAGAGAGAGAGAGAGAGAGAGAGAGAGAGAGAGAGAGAGAGAGAGAGAGAGAGAGAGAGTATTCAAAAGAGTGTATGGTTCGTAAATTATGATTTCTTGTAAAGTTTGTATTTTCCAAGGCCGGAGATGTCTCAGACGCCAATGAATGAAATGTGAAAGCTGCAAATGTGTCCTCTTGAGGTGAAATGTACACTTCAGACGTTAAGTATTTGGAATAAAATGCAACCGTCTTTTTGAAATATTACATGGATTAAAATTGGAGTCGACGGTGTGTGGAAAGAATGTTTACATAATATATGCAATGAATGATTCACAGTTACACAGCTGCATTTCGTTTTCTGACATTTATCAAAAGTTGGTAAGCAGAAACTCACCAAAATTTTAAGCTTAATTAAAAGTGCATTTTTCATATAAACAATATTACGTTAGGAAACGAAATACATTTGACTTAGACATGAATTACGTGTAAATGTGAGATCGAGAATGGCAATTCGTCGTAAACCATTATCACGATTGTGCGCGTTAAAATGTAAAGTAGCTTGGAGATAGCGGTATGACAACGAACGAGATGCATTTTCAAACGCAAGACACATTTACCTTTAAGAATATATGAATATACAAAAACGAACCATTAGGTATATTTTATGCACAAACAGTAACACAACCATGGAAAGGATGCCCCATCAGACCGACAGGCATGTAATATATAGTCAAATCTTGTCAAATATTTCATTTTAACGTTGGACCATTTCAAAACACTATGAAACAAACATATGGTGCGATAACAAACCCAGTCGTGCTTACCGGCATGGGAAAATATTTCACTAGAACTACGAGAGATGGAGTATTGACACATTACAACAAATACAAAGTAAGTTTGGTTTAAGATTGTATATAGACAACTAAAGTAGATTTGTTTGTATTTTTGTTTGTTTGCCTGTTGGTGAATGTTATTTGATGATGCATTTATGATCAGAAGAACAGGGAACACAGTGCACGAATTATGTTTCTGAAATAAATGCTACAAAACACACTCCACAATTATATGATACGTCTGGTAAATACAGAGTGCATTGTACAATTCCGATTACATCATTAACATGTGTTCATGAATAGCTATCAAAATAATAATACCACGTGTTCGTGAAAAGGTGAACATTTCTTCCTCCACAATTTACAGCATTCATATACATATACAACTACCCTATTATCAAAATGGTAGCACGCATGGTGCCAAATTATCAAGGGAATATGTACAAATCACAGGAATTTGGGAATAAATGGGTAAATAATAGCAACATTCTACCTACCTGAAAATGACGCAAGTACGTTCAGCTGGTGCAATTGACGACATCCTGAAAACCGAAACAGACATACGTGTATCCCGGGCGATGTACATTTCTTGATACGCGACATGTAATTCGAACGTCTGGCGTTTAAACAATACACATAAACATGCACATTGTTACATTTGATGCCATTTCTCTCGTAAAACTGACTGGCAGAATAAAACATCATTGACATGTATGTCCCACTGACGTTGATTCAAAATGGGCGGGACTTGCTTGCATCCCCAGGCAATATAATTTCATTATTGAGAGTGAAATTCAACAGATGACAATAGATATGTGTCTATTACACATGCGACGTTGCCGGTGACGAGTTTATGGGATCTTTATCTGTCAATTATCGATGTTCCAATAAACAACCCTCATCACGTCCATTGCATGGCTTAACAAAGAGTCGCGAGTGTTAAGTGGTGTAAATGTATTTTTCATATATGCCCAATGACCAATAAACATTTTTTATGGGATTTAAATATTGCTAACGGAAAGACAAATAGTCCTATCACTATTTTCATAAATCTATTGTATGTGTGTATGTATTTAATCACTGACACTTAACAAATTTGTATGTCTTAATATTCTGTTTTATCTGTGCACTACATTATGTATTTAAATGTTATCCTTTTTATATATGGAAACAACATGCATCTATGAGATGAATGATAATTCGCATTTACCCGAAGTTCTTGTGACGAATGGACAACGGACGTCGACAACAGATAAGTTGAAAATTAATTACTTAGACATTTGATAATGAATGTATTTAGTTTGTTACAAAATCATAAACAATCACGACTTCACATAAAATACGCCGAATATGTAGATGAATGTTCGGTCTTTAGCTAAAATGTGTAGTTTTTCGTGATATAAATACACTACAAAACTTTAATAATAAGCTCCAACAGCGTTTATATACATTCAACATGCTCTAAATACCAGGCGAACATTAACTCAATAAATTTAACAGCTTCAGCATAAAATATTTCCTCCCCAATCAAATATTTCTCCGTCAATGTCGGTTATACAATTAAACATTCTTACCACTTAACATAAATTTCCCAATGTCTAGAGGGGCTGACATAGGTTGTAATTAGCCCATATATTTCAAACCCTGAACATTTCGCTTGTCAATTGCAATGCAGGTGTAATCAATTTCATTTCAGCGAGGCTCTGACAGTTCGTCAAGTGTGCGCCCTTTTCAAATCCAGCGCTGCATATTTCATTATCCGTCGCAGTCAAATACATCCATAGGCAACAATTATCACAATTAAAAACCCGACAGGAACTTGAAATATTGTAAAACGCATGTATTGCAAATAATACTAATTACCATCCCCGTATTTCATGGGCGTTGATTCCCTATAGCCTCTGTTCTTGACAAGTGGACGAAACGGCATCCGATTCTAATGATGTGTTATGTTTGAGTTCTTAATGCTGAAAGAGAAAAGGGGTTGTCAGTTTCAAGGTTTTTACTGTAATAACGATTACAGTAATGACTATTGACATCTAGCCCAAGTAACATCAATTTCAAACCGATACCACCCCTGTATCCCCCTGGTAATTATCAATTACCCGTAAATCTGTGCAATTATTCAGGGATGAAAATTAACATTTTTTTCTTTTCGGATGTCAGAAACGAAATGTCCCTTCCATAACGTTATGTCCAATTGTATTGACAAAAATGTGGATACATGCAATAGGAATGGATATATCATATGTACAATGTGTTCTTGCCAGTGGAAACTATGAATAATATACAACGAAATGGACAGACATAATGCTAAATCTGATAGGAAATAGGTATAACATTTCTGAATACAGATTTCACAAATATTGCCGTTACTGTACAGCATTTTAGACTAAAATCTACATTAAAAAACAATATCAAAGGCTTCGAATCCTCTGAAGGAACATTTGTTTTTTGTAGTATCATCTCACCATCTGCTAATAGTATTTTAGTTATATTTTTTACTTCAAACAAGCATAATTTAGAACAATCGATGAAAGCTCTCGCAAAAAAAACAGAGAAAAAACGTCGGCGAAAGTGCATTGGGTGCATCAATATCATGGCAAAGGCAGCTGATGTTATGTTTTGTTATCAGCGCCAAAAAACGCTGGATTCTAGTCTAGTGCGTTCACAGAAAAGAGGAAAAGATATTAATGCTTTGAGACTCAACGGGGTAGCTATAAAACCACTGGGGGTCCCTTCTTATAATGAAGATGTAGAGAGCGACACGCAGCCTCCCAAACGCGAACATGACACGGAATATTGTTTTTAATATTAAATTTCATAAATTTGTCCAATTCACATGGAAGCTTTTGTTAAGCATTTAACCGACCAAGCAGTTGTTTGGGGCTGGGGAATTGAAGGGCTATTGTGTGGAGCTGTTGAAAAGTTGTGGCATGAATTTGGATGATTTTCATCAATCATAAAAAAAATCCCCAGTTTTCACGCATTTTGGATCGTCAGTTTGTAGAATCAGTTGACATTTTAATAATGATATATTCATATACTAGTTGAAATTTTAATATCAATCATATATTCATACAGACATCAGTATATGCTACATGATATCGTAGCCAACTCATTCAGTTGGTTCGGCGACAAGTAACGGGGAAATGACAAATTGCTTTCTTAAGGGAACAAGGTAAAAAGATATGAATGGATGATATTGGGTTTCAGTTTTAAAACTGACAGAATGGTCAAGTAAAACTAAATACATTTTCTATTTCATATTAGATTTAAATATTAAATATCCATTTCAGATGTTTACTTGTTGACCTATTACTGGTTGTCATTGAAACATGTTTCTTTTAGTCGCTAAGAAATATTCAGAGTTTGCGGAAAAGATTTAAAAAGTAACAAAAAGGTATCAATGAAAACATATATTTAATTCCGAGGAGGCATAAGTAATATCGAAGGAAAATCGATGCGGAACAACATGATTGCAATTATTTACAGGAAAGTGTCACGTGGAAGTATTTGAAGGAAACGTTACTTAGAAATATTGCATAAAACGTTACGTAGGAATAGTTGCAGGAAATGTTTGGTAGAAATAGTTGCAGGAATACATCATGTAGAAAATGTAGAGCGATGTAAATATACTTGAAGGAAACGGTTCGTGAAGATAGTTGCACCTGATGTAGGAATTGTATTGTAGGATATAGGAACACGCATTGTAAATACAGTTACAGTAAACGTGACATAGAGATAGTTGCAGGAGGACGTGATGTAGGAATTGTATTGTAGGATATAGGAACACGCATTGTAAATACAGTTACAGTAAACGTGACATAGAGATAGTTGCAGGAGGACGTGATGTAGGAATTGTATTGTAGGATATAGGAACACGCATTGTAAATACAGTTACAGTAAACGTGACATAGAGATAGTTGCAGGAGGACGTGATGTAGGAATTGTATTGTAGGATATAGGAACACGCATTGTAAATACAGTAACAGTAAACGTGACATAGAGATAGTTGCAGGAGGACCAGATGTAGGAATTGTATTGTAGGATATAGGAACACGGATTGTAAATACAGTTACAGTAAACGTGACATAGAGATAGTTGCAGGAGGACGTGATGTAGGAATTGTATTGTAGGATATAGGAACACGCATTGTAAATACAGTAACAGTAAACGTGACATAGAGATAGTTGCAGGAGGACGTGATGTAGGAATTGTATTGTAGGATATAGGAACACGCATTGTAAATACAGTTACAGTAAAACAGTTGCAAACCTGATGTGACATAGAGATAGTTGCAGGAGGACGATGATGTAGGAATTGTATTGTAGGATATAGGAACACGCATTGTAAATACAGTTACAGTAAACGTGACATAGAGATAGTTGCAGGAGGACGTGATGTAGGAATTGTATTGTAGGATATAGGAACACGCATTGTAAATACAGTTACAGTAAACGTGACATAGAGATAGTTGCAGGAAACGTTATGTGGATATAGTTGCAGTAAAACGTGATGCAGAAACAGTGGCAGTGGAAATAGTTGCAGTAAAACGTGATGCAGAAACAGTTGCAGGGAAACGGTATATAGAATTAGTTGCAGGAAAATATGACGTGGTAATAAATTTAAGACAACACGATGTAGATTTAATTTAAAATAATATAGGACGAGTTGAAGAAATACACAGTGCCCTCTTTCTCAAACGTAATTTATTCAAACACAAAACCGACCATGACAAGATACAAATCGGAACAAGGTCGACGAGTGACATCTAACTCACCCAAACATTGCAGACAGATATTTCTCTCATGAGCAAGATCTATATTGTGTGCAAATCAAAAGAAATAATATATGCTTCAACATGCATAGAGATCATATGTCGTTCCAGAATTAATTCAACCTGAATCATGTATCTGATCTCACGCAGTGTGATGACAATGCATTTATGTTACGGTAATATGTAAACAAGATTGAACAATTTTTTCCCGAGTCATAAGTGCTAAACACATTTCTATTGAGAACACATGTCGTAAATGAATGTAGCAAGTTTTTCGTGTGTTAAATGAATGTGTCTGTGTGTCATGTTTCAGTTAATTGTGAATGTTCGTGGTGGGTAACATTAAGGTAAATGTATGTCAAGCTGAAAAAAAGTGAACGTGAGCCATGCTTTACTTGAATGTGAAAATGTGCCACGTGTTAAATGGAGTGTCCCATCTGTAATTCGAGTTCATGAACGAAATTTATGTTCTTATGTAATGAATACAAAGCTAGGAATATATGAATAATTTCAAGTGACAAACAGAACATACTTTACCTATTTAGAATTATCACCAATAGCAGGTTGACATGTCCTTCTATTTTATCACAATGCCTACGTTTCAATGAATGAATATACAATTTATCATCAGTATGCGTCAACAACAATATATTTGCATATACTGCACCCAATTATACCTTTTTCAAAACGATTTTGAGTATATTCACAGGTATATTATCTGTAAACCGACATGTGTATTGAAATGTTTACTTCGACAATATTGTATACAATGGTCATGCCTTTAATATAATTAACAATTCTGTTTTGATTCCATAAGTATCACCCATATAGTGGTGTAACTGGGACATAAACGACTAATGCACTCTCTGTGCGGTATGAGTGTGTGTGTGCGCGCGCATGTGTGTGTGTGTGGTAGAATGAGCGATTTTGACACCACATAGGTAAAACACTCAAACACGTTAAGTACATTTCTTCTGTCATAATGTAGCAATATCGCTACCATCATCATGATCATGATCAACATCATCATCATCATCAGCAGCAGCAGCACTGAATCAATATAGTCAGTAAATAGAGTATGTGTGATCCTGGAAATGTCAGGGTAGTTGCGCTTATCACCAGCCCCTTTACATGCAGTCCAGACGGAGAATAGCACTTCTCCCAGGAAGCGTACGCGTTGAGTGGTTCAGCTAACCAAGGTATATCGGAGAATGTGAAGACGCCCCAACATTGTCCGTTTCTGCCTGACACTTCCTTTCAGAAATCAGCTTAAAGAGTCGGACGACTTGGCACTTGGTAGACGAGCATGATATTTCTCGAGAGAGTTTCCCATATTTGTCCTCTTTATTTCTGAATCTTGTCAATACATTTGTGTCCAAACGGTCAGAAACTTCAATATGGTATAAATAGTTCCCCGGGTTTAATAAAAAATAAGAGCCAGTCAGGAGTGTTGTACTGGAAACGCCTGAGACTGAATATGGACCCCTTCCAGCCAATTTCATTATTAACATCTTTCAGGTCTCTCTCTGCATATTCTGGGTTGTATCCTGGATGGACCTTTGGGTCAAAACCACAAGCATGGCGAAGATGATGATAATATGATCAAGCCACGCAATTATGTGGCTTAAGTTACTGTGCTTGTGCTGGAAGAGATGCTGGACAGTCTCATTAAATTCAATATATAATCTGCTTTTCTATTTTTACATTTTCATGAAAATTCTCTCATTGGCGATTTCGAGTTGAGAGTGACTGGACCGAAGTAGAAACAGAAAACCATCTGTTTCACTTTTTCAGGCCAGTCGACACGATATATATAACATAGTCAAGCCCATTTATATTGCAGCCCTAGGGAGACCAGAGATTCAGACTAGACTTGCTTTGCAGCTGCTTCTTCTCAAGATACGGCATATCAGGGACTCGGTGGTCACTCTCAGTGAGACTTCCTCAAGACGAAATCAGCTCGGTTCGTTCAGTGAGCCTTTGCCAATTTTATATGGCACCTCGCTTGGCTGACACTAGCATCTGTACAACCCAGAAGTACAGAACCATCAGGAAAAATACCCTTTGAAATTAAGACTATGTCCAACATTCTTTTCTCTTTGAATCACTTGTTTTCATAATGAGCCTTGCCATGTTTCACAAGTGAATGATCACACACATAAATGTGTGCTAATGCGGACTATAACA